GTAGCTGGGCCGCCCTGCCTGCTCCTGCCCCGAAAAGCAGCACAGGGGCAGCGTGCGTGCGTCACCCACACCGAGGGACTGTGTTTGCCCCCCAACACGCGGCCGCATCCAGGGGCTCCCGTGGGCCTGCCTTGCGTGTCTCCTAACGCACTTCCCGCCCCGCTGGCGCCTCCCCGGGCCGGAGCCCGGGAGCCCCATCCCAGCGCCTCTCCACGCGCCTCTCCGTGTCGTCACGCGCCCCGTGAGCCGCTTGTGGTTGTCCGCTCGCTGCATGCGCCCCTCGCCTCGTCCCCGCGCTTGGCCGTGCCCTGCAGCCCCTATTTATTCAGCTGTGTATAGCAGATGTTCCCCCGGGGCCTGCCCGGCTCTCGTGGCGAGAGGTTTATAAAGTCACAGCCGCGGCACCGCAGCGTGCGGCTGCCCCAGACTGCCTCATTGCCCCGGCCGGCGCGGGAGGCCTCCGGYGTTGGTGTGGGGGGAATGCGCATGGGCTCCTGTGCAGCTGGTGCGGGGGGCCAGGGCACCAGGCAGGGGCTCTGTGGGGTGGCAGGGATGGCCCCTCTGCCAGGGTGCTGTCCACGAGTGGCCTCTGCGGGGGGCTCGTGGGGCCTGGGCGCTCAACGCCATGGGCTCGGTGAGCAGCGGGCCGGGCTCCTGCGCAGAAGGTTCCCTAATGTTCAGCACAACAGTGTGCAAATGCGCCGGGCCCCACGGCCTGCCCCACACGACAGCAGGCAGGGAGGCGGCTGCCGCCACGGCGGGCACTGGCAGGGGCAGCTGCAGTGGCGCCAGCAGCAGGGCAGGCGCCCGTGTCCCCACGCAGGCGCCCGTGTCCCCACGCAGGCCCCCGTGTCCCCGCGCAGCCCCGCGGACGCCGCAGTCGCTCTGTCGCTGTGGAAGCTGCAGCCGGGATGCGCCAGTGCCCTCAGGAGCGGCCGCCCCACGCGGGGCCTGGGCTCGCGCGGAGCCCCTGCTGCTCCCAGGGCCCTGGTGCCAAGCGCGGGGCTGAGGGCAGGAGGGAGCAGCGCGGCCCTGCGCCACTCCCTGCTACGCGTGGCGAGGAGCCCGGTGGCGTGAGCGCCTGCGGCAGCGCTGTTGGGTGGCGGGACTCGCACGCACCGCAGCCGCAGCCGGCAAAACGCCYTCAGGAGCAGCCCCGAGCTTCCCTCCCGGAGCCAAGTGAAAGGAACCTGGCACCAGGCTCTGTCCTACGGGAGCGCCCAACTTTGGCTCTTCCCCCTCGTAAGAGGGCTGGATTCCTCCAGCACGGTAAAGGGTAAGGGTTCTTCTCCCGCTCGCTGCTGGCGCTGCCCTCGTGCCTGCCTCACGCACGGGACAGGGTTTGTCCAGGGCCGGTGCCGGCAGCCTCTCCTGCCCCTCGCCTGGCCAGGCACAAGGCTGCACAGTGCCTGGTTTCCTCTGGGAGAGGCCCCCTCTGCCATGGGAAGCTGCAGCCCATAGGGGTGCCCGGCCCCAGCCACCCACACGGGTGCCCCTGCACCTCGCTGGAGCCCGCCCGGGGGACCTCCAGGCTGGGATTAGGCTGGAGGATTAAGGGGTGGCAGCAGCTGTTGCTGGAGGCGGCGCAGAACRAAGTCACTAAAGACAAGGACCGGGGAGCAGGAAGGTGCCAGGGTCTCCCTGCTTCAGAGGGAACAGGAGCTCCAAGCGCAGCCCCAGCAGCACGCCCTGGGGAGCAGGAGCACTCAGCACAGCCCTCCTGCCTCGGCCGTGCAGGSCAGCAGGTAGCCAAGGAAAGTCTGTGAGGCAGCCCCAGCAGCAGCCGTCAGGAGCGTCAGGAGGGCGCCCTGGTAGCCGCTCCCTCCGCAAGGGCACCCGTGAAGGGCTGCCACGCGACGTTCAGGAACTCACGGGGGCCTTGGCCTTCCTCCTGCACCCGCAAAACTCCCTTGAGAAATGAGCACTTGCCTATTTCCAAGAGCTGGGGCTGCAAGAAAAGCAGCAAACGTTGAAAGAATTAGCTGCCTTTCATCCCACTGCGGAGGCAGGAAGGCAGCAGGGCGAGGGCTCTGCCAAAACACCCATGGGATGGACGGACGGATGGAGAGCAGCACTTGCTGTAGGGCAGGCAGAATCTTCCGGTGCGGCACTGAGCCCGTTCACAGCAGAGCAGGGCTCGCTGCAAACAGGCTCTGACGCAGACACTCTCTCTTACAGCACAGCCTCTAAATACTGTGAAAACTGCCCACGTTACTTCACGAGGGAACTCTGTGAAACACAGAAAAGGGGCTATTTAAAAAAAAGTCATTGGCAGTTTCCAAGTCAAAAGTGACCCGGCCACCGCTAGAAGTGCAGGATTCTGAGCTGCGAGCTGTCCATGCAGGGCCAGAAGGTGCTCCCAGGGCGAGCACTTGGGTTGATGACAAGTAAAAGGCTGCTCTTCCCTGCGCATGACTCCTGAGCCAGCCGTGCCTCACTCCCACCAGACCAGGCGAGAGTTGCACAAATACCTTCAAGAGAGCAGTGCCAAAGGGGGACAGGTACCGACGCACCAGAAAGCRAGTGCGTGGCGCACGCACCTCAGCAGACCTGGAGAGGGCACCCCGAAAAGCTCTGCATCCTCACGGGCTCCGGATCTGTCCGGCCCAGGTTCTTCAACTGAGTGGAGAAAGCACTAGAGCCACCACCACTTACTTTTAAAATAGTTTATTTCTGGTCTTAAAATATACATCAGTTTGAAAATTTCAGAAAAAAAAAMCAAAACAGAGCACATTAGTTACAGATTAACAGTCTGGAGCTGGGACACGGCACGTGGAGCGCGGAGGCGGCGCCGAGGGCTGCAGCTCCGCTCCGGCCTTGCCCTCGGAGCGCCGCGGGCGGCCGGGCCGAGGCACCCGCGGAGGCTCCGGGCGCTCCCTGCAGCCCTCGCGGCGGGTTTGGAGCCTGCAGAGGGTTTAGTGGCCCTCTGGGGCGCAGGGACGCAGGGCTGAGGGCGATGCCTGCCGTGCTGTGAGGCAGAGGACGGGCTCGCTGTCCCACGGCTGCCCCTCGAGCCCTCTCGGAGTGTGGGGTGCCGCTCGGTGAGCACCCGAGCCAAGGTGACAGCAGGCAGCCACCAGCTGGAGGCCGCCACACGCTGAAGCCCTCCACAACGCCACGGAAGAGCCTAAGGAAAACAGCAGGAGCAGAGCGGATGCTGAGGGCAGGCACGGGGAGCCCCCACCTTGGACAGGGGACATGAGCACCCTGCAAGCTAAGAGGCGGCTTCCGCCCTCGGCACCGSCTGTTAGCACAGGAATCAGGCGAAATAAACACTGTCGTGAAACACTGTAGTGAGAGAGCAGGCCCCGCTGCAGCCCTCAGCCGCGGGCCGGGACGGGATTCCCGGGAGAGGAGCCGGGCCRGGCCGCTGGCAGCGCTGCCGCTCAGCAGGAGCTGCCTCCTGGCGAGGGGGCTGCACCACGGCGGGAAGACAAAACGAAGCCAACTCAAAAGACAGAGCGAGATGGCAGGGGGCAGGGGGCCCGCGGCGCGAGGCTGGCGCCCGCCTCGCACCCCTGTGGGACACCAGACGGACACAGGAGGTTACAAACAGGACACGGGGCTTTGCAAGCCCCCAGGGAACACCTACGTCTACAGAGCTTCCCCCTTCCCACCCCCCGCCATTAAGACACTGAGCACACGAGACTCAAGAGAAGTCACGCAAAAAATCACACTACACTGGGGAAAAAACACGCGGAGACGCCCTGCCCRGACAGGGAGGCCCCGGAGAGGCGCCAGGGCCAGCCCGGGACCCACCTCGCAGCCTGGGACACGTAAAGGAGGGCAGACAGAGGGCCGAGCCGTGGGGTAGCGCGGCTGCACGGAGCAGCTCCCCCACACGCTGCCCTCGCGGGGAGCCCTGCCCCACACCCGGCCGTGTCCTTGGCTCCTTGCTCAGCTGGGCGGGATGCTGCCCCGAGGGTGCCGGGATCTGCGGCAGGCTGGGAGGCAGGATCAGAGGGTGCCGCTCAGAGCGGAGCCTCCTCAGCACATCCCTGATGCAGGCAGCGGGGTGGCTGCGCCTCTTCGTGCAGGGCGGGGGAAAAACAGAACAAAACAAAACCAAAAATACACCCCAAAACCAAAGGCTCGCACAGAAGAAAGCGGCCCACCCAGGAGCACAGGATCAGCACCCTTCAAACAGAACCACAGTGTGGAGAGCGGGGGAAGAGGCACGAGGGAGGACACACGCAAACACAAACCTCAGCCCCGAGAGGCGACGCCGTGAGCCCGGGAAGGGCCAGGGCTCCCAAACCGGCGCCCAGGGCCGCAGYGCCGGCTGAGCCCGGCACCGAGGGGAAACGAAGCCCAGCAGGCCAGTCGGACACCAGCAAAGGCTCCTGTCGCCCAAGGCACCGAGCAGGAGGGCGCTCGGGCCTCGCTCGGGCACCGCGACTGCCCAGGAGTCGGACACCGGCKCGCCGGCGCTCTGCCCTGTTGGCACGAGTCGGGAGGGAGCGGAGCCGCCGCGGGCAGCAGCGCAGCAGAGCCCAGGGCCGCGCGTACCTGAGCAGGGAGGGCGGAAACATCAGGGCAGAGGGAGGCACCAGGACGAGGGGCACGGAGAGCAGGGCTGGGTACAGGCACCAGTGTGAGCAGGGAGCGGAGCAGCGAGCGGGCCAGGGCAGCGGCGCTTCTGCCAGTCCCGCGGGGCTGCGGAAGGAGGGCCCCGCTCTGCCACGTATCAGAAAAAGAATAAATAAGAACTTCTGAGCCCTGAGCCCCCCGGCTGGTGAGCGCTGAGGGAGGCTGCTCCCTCGGGAGGCGGCGATGGCAGCGCCCCACAGCTCTGCACCTCAGATGTGGCTGCTGCTTCCCCTGCCTCAGCCCCACAGCTCTGCACCACGCGCGTGGCTGCCGCTTCCCCTGCCTCAGCCCCACAGCTCTGCACCACGCGCGTGGCTGCCGCTTCCCCTGCCTCAGCCCCACAGCTCCGCACCACGCGCGTGGCTGCTGCTTCCCCTGCCTCAGCCCCACAGCTCCGCACCACGCGCGTGGCTGCCGCTTCCCCTGCCTCAGCTGAGGAGGTTGCCCTGCTCCTGCGCCTGCGTCAGGCTGTCCTTGCGATGCAAGTGATGGACGCCCATCCTCTTGGGGCTGCGGTGCGGGCGGCCGCCGGCCGGCCTCATCCGGCCCTCTCCGCTCTCCTCCTGGGCACAGGCCGGGCTGCTCTCCTTGCTTCCCTGCAGCAGCATCTCCCTCTCCTCAGCTGGGCTCTCTGCCAGGCCCAGGTCCACGTAGTCCTTGTGCTTCTCTGGCGGGGGGCTCCCAGGCTCGGCAGCGACTCCTCCGTTTCCCTGCAGCAGCTTCTGGGCTTCATCCTGGGAGAAGTCGGTGCCGTAGTCCGAGGAGAAGTGGCTCCTGCGGGCCCTGGACTCGGTGCTGTCCGTGTCCACGCTCGAGTCCCGGCTCACGGTCCAGCTGCAGCTCTGCGCCGACTCCTCGCCATCCGAGTAGGCCGAGGCTGCCCGCCCCAGCTCCTGCATGGAGCGGCTGAACCTCTTCTGGAGCTCGGGGGCCGTGTCGCGGCCGAAGGCCGTGCGGTGCCGCAGCACCCGCTCCGACGTGGGCGGCGCCTTGTCCACGAACATGCGCTGCCAGTTGGCCAGCAGGTCCTCCTCGGAGCTGGCGGAGCTGGCGAAGGCGCTGGGGATTTGGGGCGGGCTGCTGAAGGGGCTGCTCTGCGCCGAGCCGCGCGCCCGGGCRGCCTTGGGCGAGGGCTGGCAGGAGCAGCTGGAGGCCGAGCGGCGCCCCTCGGAGGCCGGGCTGCCGGGCTGCGCGCGCTGCCGCTCGCAGCCCTCGTCCTCGCTCTGCACCAGGCTCAGCGAGATGGCCTGGCGCGTGGCGTACGTGCAGTTGGGCAGGGGGCTGTTCTTGGGGATCCGCACCTTGTCCTCGGAGAACTCGATCACCTTGCGGCCCGGGTACATGGGGTGCGGCGGGGAGGGCGTCGGGTAGGGGCTCAGCTTCTCGAAGGCGGCCGCCTCCTCGGGCGCGCTCTCCACGCTGCTCTGGGGCCTGCAGCCGCCGTTCTGCTGCCTCCCCGTYCCGCCGGCCTCCTTCCCCGCGCCGCTGCAGGCGTCGGCAGCGGCTCCGCTCATGTCCACGTGCACGAAGACGTCCTCGGCCATGGGGCAGCTGCCGCTGCTCGACTTGGCTGAGTTCAGGACGAGCGACTCCGGCTTCTCCAAGACTCTGGCAATGACCGAGGTGGGCACGACGTCCGACGGGGCCAGGGTGTGGGCTGCCTCTTGTCCAGGGCCTGCAGACTCCTGGGAGCTGTGCAAATGCTTATTCACCATGTCCTGCAGCTCATAGGGAAGCTACAGAGAAGGAAAAGGGCATCAGATGGGCACTGCCAGGCAAAGCCTTAGGTTGCAATAGCCTGCCTTCACGCGGCAGCCTGCGTGGGTGCGCTGCCCTGTGCTCCTTACCCTGATGCTAGCACTTCTGGCTACCTTGCCTTCAGGGAGGCATCCTTCTCCAGAGCAAACCTGCCCTGCATGAACTAACTTCAGTTTTATCTCAGGCCTGATCTAACACTTGACCCACAGTGTTAGAGGTCTAGGCCAGCCYTCCCAGGCCTCATTTTGGAAAGAGAACAGGACAAGGAGGCACACAGGCCTGCACACAGCGAGCAGAGACAAGGCCTAGCTGGCACATGCTGGGGAGGAGGCCATTGATCTGTGGAAAATCAGCGGGCAGTTGCACTGAAGTGACTGCACAGCCCCCAGCGCGGGGTGCGCAGCGCTCCCCGGCCGCGGTAATTACAGCCCTGCCACCCTGGCAGCCTGCCCGAGGGCACAATCGATGCCTTCCCGCGGCCCCATCGGCTGCCCCATCTCATCTCACTCTCCCACCCCCTCTCTCAGATGGGCAAACGTGTCCATCTGTTAGGAGCCCCTCAGCACCGGGCTCTCAGCAAGGGGAAGGCTCTGCTCCCCATCCCGCTCGCCCCGTGGCTCCACGGGGCCCCCTTGCCCCAGGCACTGCACGAGCCCGGGCCGCAGAGGGGAACGAGCGGGGCCCAGGGCCACAAAGCGCTCGGGGGCACCGCAGGTCCCACTGCTTGAGGCAGGAGGAAGCCGGGGACAGCGAGCACGTTGTGGCTGCAGGGCTGCCTGCGCCTGCCCAGCCGCAGCCACGTGGGGCAGGACCCACAGCAGCCACCCGGGGCAGGACCCACAGCTCCAGGGCGGGGAGACAGCTGGCAGAGGCCAAGGTTGCTCCAGCAGTAACTGATACAGCGGCCTCAAGGGCGCTAATTTGAGACACGTTGGCAGAGGGGGAGGGTGCTGTCCTGGTCACCTGCTAAGTTAGAAAAGACAAGCACAAAGGTTGGCCGAGAGGCAGATGTGAGGGGCTGGAGACTGGGCGTGCAGGCAARGAGAGAGGCTGCTCCGAGCACAAGGAGCAATGGCACTGATGGGAATGGCCTGACCCCTGCCTGCCCAAGCTGGGGCTTGGACAAGGCTGGACAGAGCTCACGGGGGAAGCAGGACTCAGTGCCAACTTCCTCCGTCCTGAAGGCCCAAAACCCACTCTAAAGGCTGCTCCCCTAATTCCTGCTCAGACAACAAGTCGCACAGGGCCAGTCTCAACAGGCCACCGCCCTTAAGCAGGCAGCATGGCCAAGCCACGTGGCCAGGTGAGCAGGAAAAGAGGGCAGAATGGGGGAAGAGAGAAGCCTGTCCTCCTGACGGCTCCCATCAGGCACCCGGCAGGCTATCAAATTCAAGGTTATTGTGCTTTTTATAACAGCCCCGGGCCAAGCTGTGAAATGGAGCTGGTGTGAAAGAGGAGCTGACAGGAGCGCCGAGCTGCCTTCTCAGAGGCAGGAGGAGCCCCCTCGCTCGGCCGTGGAGGGAGGAGAGGCCAACTGCCCCACAGAGAAACCTGGAGCGGAGCGCAGGGCCGGCGGCGGCTGCGAGCCCTCCTGCCCCGCTCAGCGGGGCTGCTACTCACATCTGCAAACTTGTGGTTCCTGAAGTGGGACTTGTTACACTTGAGCAGCTGCACGGCGAGGTTGCAGTCCTGCCGATACCGCTCCTGCAAGAGAGGGCACAAAGGATGCAGAGCCCGTCGGCCCGGATTCGTCAACAAAAGGCATCACCTGCCAGATGCTGCTGGAGCAGAGGYGTAAGGGGACACCTGGTGAACCAGTGGTGATGGGAACCACCGCTCACTCCTCTCCACACCCCACTCCAAGGGGCTTTTAACTCCAGTGCATTTCCTTCCAATTCTGCCAGGGTGTCCCTTTCAGGTCCAATGCCCTGCTCTGGGCACAGTCACACTCTGTCGGGGCATCAAACCCCTCTCTGAGGGATTCACAAGCTCCTAAGTCCAMGCAGATTCACTATCTAATCCCAGAGCTCACAGTCATCCCTGTAGACCCTGCCTGTTTTCCAGTGCCTTGCAGCCAGTCTAGAAGGAGTTGAGCAGCCAACAAGCACCAAACCCAAGAACTGCTAAATTAATGATACAGAAAAGCCACATCATTAATGATAAAATACGATAAAATGATAAAACAAACAAACAAACCCACCTCCCCGCTCTGACATCTCGACTGGTACAGCCYGAACTCAGGTCAAACCTACTGTTCAAAGACCAGCAGAGCACACACATCAAACCTGAAGATCAGCTCTCCCCTGCTCTCCCCCTAAGGCCCTTTTCTGTTTGCTTGTGCCTACCACTGAGGGCAGCTCCCACTTTCATACACACCAAAGTCACTCACCTGCTTCTTTACACTCTCATTAACAACTTGGGATGAGAGGAGAACCCCACACCTCACACACCTGCAGCACATTTGCAGACTGCCACTTACATTGAGCTCCTCCAGCTTATTGATGGTGGTTTTGGCATCAAGCAGCTTATTAGTGAGCTCCACAATCTCCCAGTCCAGCGTCTTGCGGTCCATCTCTGCCTTCTTAATCTGGATGCAAGAAGAGCATGCATGAGTCTCACCAGCATAGAAGAGCCTGGCTTCACAGCCCACCCACCCAAGCCCCGCRCAGACGTGTTCAGCTGGGATACAGAAATTCCTGGGCAGAAGGACAAGGGGAAGATCTTGCCTCTTCGCCCAGGTAGGGAATCACTAGGGAAGAGCCAGCCACCCTGCTAGTCCCAGAGGCAAGGAGCAAGTCCCAGCCTCTGGGAAAGGAGTCCTTTTCTCTGGTGAGAAAGAAAACCTGTGGAGCTTCACCCAGAGCTCAGTTAATGCCCTCCCCACAGCAGGGAATGTCTCCTCTTTAAGCGGCCTATGACCTGGGTACAAGGCAGACAGAGGGGCAGGGGGAAGAGGCGCCCAAGGGGCAGCGCCGCAAGGCAGGGCCTGCGGCGCCCACCGAGCCCTGGCCTGGAGCGGGGCACCTCCAGGGACTGGCAGCGAGACCAACACGCTGAGACACGAAGGGAGGAGAAAGGAAAAACAAACACCACACAAACGAAAGGACGCAACTGCAAAAATCCAGCTTTGGCTGAGAGAGGCCTGAGAGGCGAGCGGGCCAGCGAGCGCCAGCGGCAGCGTGGCGAGACGAGAGAGAGAGAGAGGAGGGAAGGGGGAGGGAGAGAAAAGAAACAGCCATGAGTGTTATGAATGCGCAGACACACGCACGCCGGCCTCCCCGCCCGCCCGCCCGCCCCAGCGCGGGCCGGCACGCGGCCCCAAGCGACACGGCGGAGGACCATGCGGTTATGYGATGGGCAACCAAGCTCACGTGCGGGACCACGGCGGCGAGAAGCAAACCGAGCGGCCAGCTCACGACACACGGCTGCGATTTGGGCGGGTTTTTGTTGTTGTTGTTGTTGTTTTGGGGGGAACTGGATGGCCGTGGGCAGAATCTTACTGTTACCCACTGCCGTTTCACTCAGTAAAGCGAGGGGCCCTTCCCCCATTAGCTCCTATAACATCCAGGCCTCATCCACCTCCTCTCCGAGGAGACTTAGCAGGCACTCACCAGGGCATGCAGCTTCTCCTCCAGGTCCTGGTTGGTTCTCTGGGAGGCAGTATAGCTATTCTGCAACCTGCACAAACAGGAGTGCCCACATGGGAATGGTTCTCGGGCAGCTGGTGAAGCCCCCTGCCCAGCTGCCATGCAAACCACCAGACCCACAGCTCCAGAAACACTGACACTTGCRGGACCGAGACAGCCAGGCCCATCAGGCCTCACTTTACCACGCTACAACACGTTACAACCTTCCACGTCACAACCTTCAGGCCTCGAGCGACTAGCGCAGAGGCAAGCGTGGCCTGGTGGCCTCCCGCACTCTTGCGGTGAAGAGCGTCAGGGTCCTTGGAGGCCTCCCCTGAGCTGTGCCGTGTGTAAGCACGCCATGGCCAGCACGCTTACACACCGAGCTGCTGCTCTCCAGGTACGTCGTGAAGCAATTTCTTCTAAGGCACGAGGGAATTACTTGCCACGGCATCAGGGGCTCTCTGCATGTCAGTCAACTGCACCAGCCAGATCCTGCCTTACATCCCACAGATGAGGAATTCTCTGTCAGCCCCGCAAGTCACACTGTGCTCCTGCCCCACACCCTGCAGKAAGCTGCACCAGGCAAAGGCTGGAGAGCCCCTGCCCTCCCTACAGTGTGGAGACTTCCCTAAGGATACAGCATATCTTGGATCAACACAACAGGGCACAGCCTGCTCARGCCATCTGAGCAAGTCCTTGGCGGGAGACAGCTTTAGTCCCATCCCTCTCTTGTTTTCTTTTCCATACCTACGGAATTTGTCCTTGAATTTCTCCAGCTCCTCACGGTTCTGGCCCAGCTCCATCTCCAGGTAGTCCTGCCCCGACTCCAGCTCCCTCTCCATGGCCTCCATTTTGCCGGTCACATAGGTCAGCCGCCGGCGCAGCTCCTCGTTCTCGTGCTGCAGGAGCCTGCGGCACAGAGCAACAGGCTGCCACGGAGCACACGGGGGTCTCTATCCACAGCTCCCYTCCCGCCCTGCCCCGGGGCCCAGGCCCTGCTCGGGATCCCAGGGAAGTTGGGCACGGAATTGCCTGGATGCTCCAGCCCACGCCGTGAGAGGCAAATCACGGCGGGGAGCTGCGATCACATCTCTCCAAGCCTCGAGGAGCAGGGGCACGGAAGCGCACGCCAGGCAGGCAGCCGGGCTCCGAGCTCCCTCTCACGTTACAGCGCCGGGATGAAGCCCACTAGCCAGCTGGAGCGGCCGGCTCCAGTATCCCCCGCYGGTGAATGAAACCCACTCAATAATTCATTCCAGCCCTGGTCAGAGGAGCTGAAGGCAAAAGACTGAAAGCCCTTTCTGCTCCCCGTGGGCTGTTCAGAAGCCTTTGTGCTGTCAACATGTGCTAGAAAGAGCAGCCCCCCCAAGTCTGCCTGGGGTGCAGAGGGAGATGGGATCGCAGCTGCCAGGCAGCCCCATTCCAACATTAACTGCTCTGCTCCTCTCCAGCCAGGATGTGCCTGGTGGTAAGAGGCATTTCCTGCTGCTTCTCATTCCTCAGTGCTCAGAGACACTCAGAAACTCAGCTTCTCTCGGCAGTGCAAGCTGGCTCATCACCAGGTCTGGAGCACCGTGCGAGCGGCCGTGTGTCCTCACGCCACCAGGAGCTGCTCCTCACGCCTCACAGCGGAACGGGGACAATGAGAAGGGCTAAGAAAGGCTCGGCTGTTTACATCTTTATTAAGGCTTCACCTCCTATTTTATTCCACACCCATCAACCCCTCTGCACCTGCACTGGGGAGCAGTGTCCTCCCTCCAGGGACGGCAGAGACACAAGGCAGATGTTGGCAAGACACAGACTAAAGCTCTTCCCACAGGGCCCTCAGAGGCTTCAAGCTCTGAGGGGAACCCACAGGACCAGTGAGCTCTGATGTGCAGYTGGCACAAACAGGCATGTGAGGCATCAGGGCCACAGAGCCGCAGCACAACAGGCATAAAGGGACAACAGGACACTTACTTCATCCTTTCTGCATCCGTCAAGGGATCCTGCACAGGGAAGAAAACAGTTGTAAGATTCTTACCGAGGAAGAGTGGGTGGCACGCACCATCCTAAAGGGCAACRTTTTGACTGCTGGGCTCTCCCTGGGACTCTCCCTCACCTGCTCTGACAAGCCATGCTAGCCAAACTAGCCACGCTAGAGCAGAAACCACCCTACAAGTTGGGCAACTTTCCTCTCTCAACGATGCACTCTCAGCATCTCCTTAGCTGGYGCTGCAGCCGCCTGCACTTTCCCTATGCAGTCCTCACAGGGCAGCATGCACACAATGAAAATGTCACCACAGCAGTCAACCCTGGAGAGGGCACACGAAAACATTACTGAAAATCATCTGAGAGCTGAAAAAACTTGCCTGCCATTTACTTCAGCCAGGCTGTGGGATTTCTTTCTGCAGACTTGTGAGCAGCCACTGTAACCAGTGTGCAGGAACCCAAGAAGCAAAGGCCAGAAAAGCCTGTGACAGAAGCTAACACCTGGGTCGAGATCTCYGGGGATGCCCGGAGCAGGGACCCCCAGAACAAGGATACAGCACAGCAATAGCTCAAGCTCTGGGGGGAACCTAYGAGAGAGGTTTGAACTTGGCTCTCACTCCCTCGGTGCTAACCCATGAGATGGATGCTGCCTGCCAGCACGGCAGGAGCTGTTTTACTAACACTAAAAACCACAGTAGTTTCTGTAAAAGCCCAGGGCTGTGACTGTTGTGACAAAGGCCAGGCTGTCCACAGGATATTCCGGAGGCCTGGAGTACCAGCAGCCCTGCACAAGCCCAAGGCGCTTTGGATCTATCCATTAAGTGTCACAGCCAGCTCCAGGCTGGGAAGCTGCAGCACAGAGGTGGCTACGGATGGGACTGAGCTGCTAGAAAGGAGAAATCAACCTGGTTTTGGTCCTAAGACATCACGGAGCTGCTCCCCTCATCCACTCGTATCTTAAAAGCATAGTGCTCAGTGCCTGCAAATGCTCAGCGCGCACTTATGGCCAAGCAAAGGGAATATATGTGATTCCTACTAAAATGAGGCTATGGAAGCAGCCTGGAATGAAAAAAAAAAAGAATAAAAATGRTAGCTTACAAAGACCTGGTACAGCCATCAGATGAAGATTCAGGGAGCCAGGTACACAGGCAGGCACGGAGTGCCAGGAGCAGTGGGCAGTGCCGGGCAGCGCTGTCTCCCACACGCCTGTCCCCGTGGGGAGAGCAGCAGCGCTCCTGCCTCCCTGACTCCTGGGGCCGAGGGGAAAGCTGCTGCCTCCTGGGAGGATGTGCCCAACCTGGAGCACGGCCACGAGCGCCAGCACATGAGAGCAGCTCCTAGGTACAGGGCCCCCAGCCAGGCGGCCCCGCAGCTCCACACTCACACGTCGTGCACATCACCTGCCACCTCACTCTGTCCCAAACCCCCTGAGGGACACGAGAGGAGTCTGCTCTTGCAAATTCCCTCTTCACTCCTAGCTCGTTTGAAAGGCTCCTGCAGGAAGCCAGGTGATGTGGCAGCCCCTTGATCCTCAGGCACATGACAGCTTTGGCTTCTTTTTCCCCAAGCAAGGTGCCATAATCCAGCAGCTGCTGGRAGATGGGAGCAACAGGAGTGTCTCGGGACACGCTCTTGCTGCCCACACTGGCTTTACAGACAAATAAAATCCAGGCTGGGGCACCGGCCCTCGGGGGACGTCTCTCTGTGGGCCAGTGGCCCTGGCACCTACCTTGCTTGGTGTGACGCTGAAGGAAGGGGAGGATCTAGGTGGGCAAGGGCCCTCCCCCCGACTCCAGCACGTTGGAGGGGAGCAGGATCTTTTCTCTGGGTAGTTCAATTCCACTGCAGGCTTCCGGTCAGGGTTAGGACACAGAGGCTGTGGTTGCAGCAGCTGCAAACCGGGGCTGGTCTTGTCCCTTCTACCCTCTGCACTGCTCTTGCATGAAGACAGTGAGTGCTGCAGCCCAGGTGATGTCCCTGCCAGCCTCAGCTCTGCCTGCTGTTGCGGGTCGCACCGACACAGGTCTACTACCCTCCTCTCCAGGGAAAGGAGTTTCTCCTTACTGTCCTTTCTCCCCAGGACAGGTTTCTTTCTCAGTCTGGAAACTGCCTCGTTTTCTTCAGCACGTTTTCTTTGGGAGGAAGTTATCCCCAGCCTCTCAYGCCTCACCTCCACTTTCCTTCTGCTTGCACAGGGGGATCTTTCAGTCGCMTGATTCGCTTTGACCTCTTCCAGGTGACCTTCCCCCTGGCCTTCTGGCACAGGAGCTCTGGAAAAAGGGGAAGAGCCCAGGTCTCGCTCTGCCCCTCCAGCCTCTCCCACGGCGCGCAAGCGCAGGGGATTCAGCACCCGGTGCGTGATCTCGTCCAGGAATCTGGAGAACTGCAGCTTCTCCTCGGCGAGCCTCTCCCTGTGGCGGGAGGCCGCGCTGCCGGCGCCGAGGCAGAGCTGCGGGTCGCTGCGCTTGCGGGAGCCGCGCGCCAGCGTCTCGGCGGAGCGCGCCTTGCGCAGGCTCTCGGCGCGCGCGCCGCTCCGCTTCAGGATCCCCTTGAGGGGCAGCTGGCTCGAGGACGCCCGCGACTTCCTCGGCGCCAGCACTTCGGGGGGCTCCTTGAACATGAGCGAGCGCTCCAGGCTCCTGCTCTTGAAGGAGCAGGCGGGAGGGTGTCCTTCGTCGCCGGACGTCACGACCGTCTCCATGCTGCGGCTCACGAACTTGCCGAGGCGCCCGCGGCTGCGGTTCGGGCCCCGCTTCCCGCTTCGCTGCCCCATCCTTGCCTCGCGCAGCAGCGCCGGCGAGATAGTCCGGCTCTTGATACTCAGCTCAGCTCTGCAACCTGCCACTTCCTTCTCACTGCTTGACTCCAGGGACCACACCGAGGAGAAGTTCAGGTCGCAAACCTCAAACCCCTCCGACTGCTGGAGCCGGCCTGCCTCGGCGTAACCAACCCCCGCTCGCCGGTGCGACGGTGCTAAGCCCTTTGCCGCGCGGCGCTCCGTTACCTGACTCTGCTCAGCCAAGATCACGCCGTCCTGCTCGTCGCGGAGGATGGGCACGTCGTGGCGGACCTCGCGGTGCTGCGGCGGCGCCTTGCGGTACGGCTTCCTGGACGGTGCCGCGCTCGACATCCCGCCGGCGGCGCGGCGCCGGTGCCGGGGCACCTACCGACAGCGGAAAGGGCACAGAGGAGAGGGGCGCCGCTGCTGCATCGCGCCCTGGAAGCCCCCCGGCAGCACCTGAGCTCCCTCCAAGCACCGGAGCAGCTCCCCATGCACGTTACTAAGGGAGCACGGGAAGGGGGTGCCCACAGGCCTCGGGCAGCTGCACGAGAGAGGAGAGCAGGACAAGCCAGCCGCGTCCTTCTCCTGGCCGGCGGGAGCAGGGGGCTGGCACATCCTCTCCCCCCTCCACACACGCTCACTCACGTAGTTTGTGTGTGTCCAGATTATATATAGCAAACGAGAACAGGCCTCAGAGCAGCATATTGATTAGGCTCTTTAGGAAAGGCCTTTTCCGATATGGAAACTGCAAGCCTCACAGGCAGCAGGGACAGCTGGGGCAGGAGCTATTGATCAGTGCTGTCACTGTCAGCAGCAACTACGTGGGAGGAGACTCCGGTCACTGAACAGCCCAACCCCACAAGCTGGTGGTTGCACTTGAACCCTTGAACTGGGGCAGGCCCCGGGAGGCTCGTCAGAAGCAGCTACCACACGTCAGAAGCAGCTACCACACGTCAGAAGCAGCTACCACACGTCAGAAGCAGCTACCACACGTCAGAAGCAGCTACCACACCTTGCTCGTTCTGTCAGGAAACCCAGAGAGGATGCCAAAGGCCCACATGGCATGAAATGAAGGAGCAATGCCACAAACGTTGGGATGCAAGGGGAGCTGTTGCAATGTGCAGCAGTGCCACTAAAAGATCAGATTAGTTGCTGTCCCAGCTGTGCAGGGCGGGAGGATTCCTGATAGGCAGGTGCAGTGGCAGTACAAGAGCAAAAATGGGGCAGAAGCACACTCTGTGCACAGCCTCATAACAGCTCTCCCCTCCGATGACAACACATGCTTTATCCAAGGCCCACTCTATACATGGGATGAGTGTCCAGTATCTACACCCCTTTGCCTCGGTGGATCCTAACAGTGACCACAGGCTAGTACCTCTGGAGTCTGCAATGCCTGAACTGCAGGACTTGCTTCCGCTCAGATCCGTCCTGCCCTCATGTACAGGCAGGACCACCTGATTCTCAATCACTTACCCCTCACACAGTTGTCAGCCTCTCTACAGACCAGTGGGTACACCAGGTCACTGGCCTAGCAATTTTACCTGTCTGTATTTTGACCAGTGGAGTTTTAGAAGTCAAGGGGCTCCAAGAGCCCTCTCCAGGTTTTGTATGCTCTTGCCTACCTGTCTCTTCTCAACCTGCACTGAGCCTCCTGACATGACTGGTCCATATTACATGTCTGCATGTAGCACATATCTCAGGAACCCTCACAAGCTGTCTTCCACCCTGCTGAAAAACACAGGTTCACAAAAATCTTGTGCCCTTTCCACAGCCATATGCATCTTCCTGCAACTATCCTATAAAGCACACCATCCTTCCCGCTGTATTCCCAAACAAAACAGCTAAGTCTGCCTTTTAGGAAGGCATTTCTCATACTAAAAAAGGAAYGTTGAAATCCTGACTAGAAGCAGGATTATCAGCACCCTACTGCTCTTCAGGTGGCCTGGGGGATTCTTCTGTCAACTTCTGCCACACTAAKGACTGCAGGTGCCCATGCAGATATTCCAAGCTCCAACATTGTAATTTTTATAGCCCATAAGAACCTGAGCACTTACCAGCCTGGGTTCAAATCTGAAGCCTCATGAAGCAAGGACACTCACTCTTCAGACGCCCTGAGGAAGGGAAAAAGCTTAGCACCCATCAAAAAGCCAGGTTTGAAAGCTCATCTCATAATCACATAAGGAACAGGAAATATTTACAGCAGAAGACAACTGAATGCTCATCCCACTCCTAGTTCACCATAGATCTTCTGAACATAAATGAAACTAGCTTTGGGGAGTTGGAGCCAGCAAGAGCTGGAAAGGCTCCTGGCACAGCCACATGCAAAGCACATAGGAATCCTGCTCCAAAATCAAGGAAGCTTCAAGGAAAGCCYGGTTGTTGCAGGCAGGCCTAAACAAACCTCCTGCCAGATGGGGTCCTTACAGCTAAACTACTCTGGTTGCTCCACAGGGATGCTAAGGGCAAAGCTGCAGATCCAGAGCTTGGTAATGCCAACAGCTACCGCACTTGTCCTTTTCAGTCAGTGCTTCTGCTAACATTGTACCTACAGGCAAGCTGGCTCTTAGCAGACTCTCACCTCAGCCAAAAGGTCCTTTCTTGTGCCGGCAGCTTTCACAGCCCACGCCGAGGGGTGGGCCATGCTCTACCTTGCTGCTAACAGGCTGCTGGAAAGCGATGCCTATGCAGCTAGTGGCACAAATCCTGAAACAAACTTTCTCTCTGTTCAAAGCCCAGGGTCCCCCTCCCTATAAGACGACAACTGCTCCCCAGGAAACTGGGAGCTAGCTGGAAGAGCCTTGTGCCACGGCCATATCCCTGCTGCTGCCATGAGAGACCTGCAGCTGGGCCCTGCCTTCCCCGATGCAGCTGGTGMTGCTGCCTTTTCCCCGTGGGTGGCACGGAGCACTCGGAGCGGGACAGGCGGGATGCAGAGCAGCTGCACCCACAGGGAGAGCTGCACGGGAGGCGATGGGAGCGGGCAGGGAAGCAGGACCGCGCACTCACGTGCTGCCGATCAAGCTAAAGAGGTGCCCCCTGCCCCAGGGCTGCCAGTCCCCTCTCCTCACCACGGCACTGCATCGTGGCTCGACTGGCACAGGGGGAACAGCTTCCCAGCACCTCACTGCTCCGCAGGGCCAGGCTCTACATTCGGGAGAGGGAGAACGTGCAGCTCCAGGAGGGACCAGGGCAGTGCAGTTTGAACCTGCTTCCCCACCAGCTCCCAGGAACTGGTTCTTCACCACGGCAGCCCCACCAGCCACAGGTTGGAAGATGAGCAGAGGCTTCCAGCAACAGCTGCCCTCGCAGGCCCAAGCACGTTCCCATCGCAGACGTGCTCCGAACAATCACACCAAAGGCCTCTCTGCCTCTCAGGAWGCAGCTCCTCAAGCTCAAGCAGGACTGTCCTGCCTCCTGCCCCGTACCTGGCAGCTCTTTTACTTGCCACCTCATCTCCACCTACCTGCAGGAGACGGCAAGATTTGTAACCTGTCCCCCCCCAACGAGAGAATTTCCARCGACACTGAAATACTCACAGTCCTCTCCAGGTACGTCCCCTGAGCTAAGGACTTACAGGATCCAAAGGGCCGACGTGTTCAAACATCTCGGGCCGCTCGTCTCCGAGTCAGCTTTCCGCTCTCYGTGTCCAGCAGTGTCTGGCCGACAGCTCCTGAAACCCGAGAAGGGAAACTTGGTGTCAGTCACCTAGGAGCACAACACATGGAAAGAGCCATGCGCAGAGCTACCTGCTGCCGGGTGCCAGGGCAGGAGGCAGCAGCAAAATCTGCACCCGCAGGCTGCTCCCTGATGGTCGGGCTGGCTRGTGAGAGGAGCTCCTTGTCTCCACTGTGCCCCAGAAAGAGAAGCTCTTTTTACCATCCCTCCAGCTGCCTGGAGCCAGGCTGCTAACTGGCCTCTGAAAGGCAGCAGTTTTTCCAAGAAGGCTCCAGGGGTCATCACTTCCCCACTTGTGTTCTCRCCCAGCAGCAGGAATCCAGCGGCTGTCGTTGCCCCAAGCTCCCTGCCACACTCAGCTCCTTTCCTCCCGCTGAATTCCCTGCTCCAGCCAGCACAGTTACAGCCTTTCTGTCTGCGGCACCTTGGCTCTCCCTGCCACCACAGAGCAGGGCGAGAGAGAGAAGCCCAAGGCGGCTCAAGCCCCCAGCCCTCCTTTCAGAGATGAGCACTCGCTCTTTGCGGAGCGGATGGACCTGCTGCTCCAGGGCAGAAAAACATACAGACACGTTTTAGATATGGTATAGATACATACCTAGCAATAAAAACACGCACAAATTCTGCTCTACAATCACCAAGCTATTCACGGGCTCTCTCAGAAGCAGCTTGCAGTCAAGTCCACRCTTTCGACTAGTCCAGAGCAGCTCCGCTTTAGCCTGAAGCTATAATAAGAGGCAGCTCCTCCATCAAGTCTTTAACCATTCTAATTAGCTCTGTAATTCAATAGGAAACTTAACCTCTTGGCGCCTTTTATCTGCACTTTCCATCTCTCATCAGCAAGCAGTGCTCCCATACATTTACAATTCTCTTTTCTTGCAGCTACTTATAGTCCGGAGCAGTTCCAGTGCTGMTTCCAAGCTAACAGAGGATACAGCTCCAGGATGGCTTGTGTAGGACCTGGGCTCACATGGATCAGCAGCAGTGGTTGTGTCTTCCAGGCAGACACAAATACACAGCATGTCAAAAGACTTCAGAAGAAACAAACACCTTGCTTTGTTAATGCAAAACGCTGAGGAATCCTCCACTCCCTCTTAAAAGAYGGAAAACAGAAAACCTAAAACCTCGTTTCCCTTCACAGTGACATTGTGCAGTTCACCTTCTGAGCACATAAACTTGCCTGAAGTTGTTTCTTTCAGAGGGCATCACCCTTCACAGCAAAATTCACCCGCTCCACTTGCAGAACGGCTACACACTCTGAGGGTTAYGGGAAAGTCAAAATATTTATCACACACCAGGAACACGTGACATAGGATGACGGAATTGTCTGGACTATTCCATACAGCATCCACAGAACTACGGGCTCYTTGAGAGTCATGCAAAAAGCACAACACCCCTCACCTGCTCACKTGGTCTCCTGCAGACCTCCTGCTCTTCACAACACATCCAAAATGGGACCAAAAAGGAGTCGCTTTGGACAAAGCAGAGAGGAGTGACAAGAGTGACATTTCCAGACCCCTGCTGTCTTCCTGACACTTGGCAAGTCCCCCAGGCCCTGGGTAACTCCTATTTAGGCTTTGCTTCTCAGCCCAGGAGACACCCAGTTTGTGCCAGCTTGCAGTTCAAGCAGCTGACCATTCCCTGCAGAATGCAGGGGGGCAGAGAAGGACCTTCCCATCACCACTTTTCCCGTGTTGCCTTTTATGCCSCTACAAAGAATCCTGTTTTCCACTGTTCAGGCTCAGCAGCCTCCCTTGCTTGTGACTCTGTCGCAGAGAACACTTCTGATGTCAGCCTTTGCTTCATCTTTCCAGCCTCCTYCTTTTAAAAGGACTTCAAAAAATACTTTTCATTCAGTAAGATAAACTTCAATAAGAGAAATATACATTCCATAACACAATCAGAACTGTAGTTGTTTTCAGTGCAACACTACAGAAACATTCCTTAGCCATTGCAAAGTGCTCTGCTCCCAAACCCTGAGTGTTTAAAATAGGCTGCTGCTGCTCGGTATGAACTTCCACTGTTTGGGAATCTGTATTCTGAATGGATACCCCATGGGGAAGACTGGCACGTACAGCTCTAGGAAGTAACAGTATCACTCCTGGATGCAAAAGCAAGGGAGACTGGTCCACTTGCCTTCTGCTGCCCATCCGACACCGCCAGCCGCAGCCTCCACGTGTCCCAGGATGGATTCCTTGGGAAGCTGCTGCAGCAGGATGCTCAGGACAACTAATCAGCGAGAGGGATGATGGAAGYGCTGCACCCAGAGGCCCTGTCCAAGAGAAATGAGTCTGTCTGAAGCGAAAAGCAGCCCCTGTAGCCTGCTGGTGCCAAGTATGATGGAAAAGGCCTGCAAGGCTATTAAAGGACCCTTTAACATTTAATGAGAGATCATCTTTTCGTGCAAAGAAGGAATCCCAATTAGAAATATGTTCAGATCTGTTCTGTTGCTGGCTACTTTGAGGCTCTACTTAAAAAAAGGGATGACTCCTCCCAGGGAAGAAACCTGCATCCCATTCTGTTGTATCAAATCCGTGAATGTTCAAAATTCAGGTCTGAGTAATAGTATTAGAGTGACTCTCAGATTAAAACTGAGTTTCAGGGGGATTATTGCTCATTCCTGCTTTTTCATACCAATTACCCTTAATCGTTAGGCAGAAAGCTCTTTTCTCTGCATGGGAATGACTCCAAGAGACATCAAGAAAAAGGGATCAGGCTAGCTGTTGAACAATAGGCCATGGAATAAGCCCTGCTTAACACCTAATATATTTCCCAAGCAAATGAAATCAGTAGACCCTGCAGTCTTACATAGTTCTTGCTGAACATAAATACCACCGGACATAGCATGTGTCTGTTATCCCCGTGCACCCTGCGGAAGTCCCTTAAATTCACAGGAATCACTTTCCTCAYGCTCCCTCTTCCCACCACACAGAGACCCCCTTGTTTTGGTCAACCTCCTCGTGCCTATGCCTGCGTTTTATCAGCTCCTGCCTGCAGGGCGTGAGGAGCAGCCTAAGGGCCTCGCGAGGGCCGGGGCAGCTCCGCTCCGCGCGGGGATCACCGGGAGCGCCGCTCCGGGAGCGCTCCCACGGAAGGCGCTCCGGAACAGAGCGCAGCAGCTGGCGGGTGTCGCAGGCACCAGCACAGCAAGCGCGGGGCCCGAGGCCAACTCCCCCAAGGAATGTTAATGGAGAATAAAAATACCCAAGAGAGATTTTGACCAGGAAATGAGCCCCAGCTTTCGAATACCTCTACAAGCACCTTCAGCGGCGGCCTCTGAAACCGCTCGAGAGCCAGCTCAGCAAAGGGGCATCTACCAAGCTCCCTAGAGCACTGCCAGCTACCAAGGGGAATGGCTAATGCCAGCTCCTTGTCCAGGAATGCTGACACCCAGGAAGCCCGTCGGGTCTCCTCAGCGATCCCTGTGGTTTCATCTCTGCAGCCTGCTCAGTGATCCTTCCAGTTCTAACGAGGTGCTTTAGGTAGGTAAATTTCCAGAGCCTCTTTACCTTTATACCTTGGATTTCTTGTCCTTCCCCACTCCATATGTCTTCTCACCTCTGCTCTTTCAAGACGTCTTGTGMAGGCAGAACTAAGTAATCACTGTTAGACCACGTGCAGAAGAAGCAACACTGTCAAGGCAATGACAAGGACTTCTGGGCCAAGCTTTTTAGATACCCAGAGGTGCAGACAAGACAGGAGCTCGTGGAGATGAGAAGTACTCTGAGAGCTTTCTCAAAATAACTGTAGAGTCCCTGCTAGCAAAGCAAATCCTGATGCTCTAACAGCTGCATCTGACGAGTTGGTAGCTCAAAGGGGTGAAATCAGGGAACTGTGGCCCTAGTTTTTCCTCCCCAACACAAGCTAGGGAGCAGCTGCAGCAAACAGACATTCAGAGAGCAGTGAAGGAAAGAGTAGTGAACACTTCTGAAGCAAATAAGCAGGCAGCAATTCCTGATGAGTGGCACTAATGCAGAGACAGACTGCCCAGTCTCTGGCAGAGGAGCCTCCTTCCCCCAGCACTGAGGGGACAGGGTGGCTGCGGTCACCCGGCCCACAGGGCATCTKCAGGCTTGAGGAGGCTTCAGAGCTTGTCCTGATGCTTGCAGGTGCAAGGGCAAATAGCAAGACATGGAATGGCCGATTGCAGCAGCCAGCTTTATTCTGAAACGCTACCCCTCTCTCTGACGTYGCAGAATAATTCATGGGCCGGTTTTATACCCGTAGAGCCCTCATCCACAAGCAGAAAATGCAAGATGTCTTACCTAGTTTCAGCATATTCAACAGAAATAAAAGTGCCACCTGCAGTAATAAAGTGGCACCTTCCTCCTTAGCCATGAGTTTGCACATTCGTGCTGAGGTGCGTATTGAGGAGACACAGCAACTGGGAAACTGCACCAAACTAGGTGAAATTTATCCCAGGCTCTGCAGAAAAGGCCAGTACAAACCCACTCAGCCACCTGAATCCTCGGAAATATTACACATCGGAAAAGTTTTTGAGATGCTGTTTTTGCCACATACACAGCAAGGTCTGTAGGCATTTTAGTTGCAGGCTGATGGGGAACCCGAAGACAACACTCCAGGCATCTCACACCAGCAGGAGCCAACACAAGCCAGATTTACAGGGGAAAAACCTAAAAACAGTCAGCTCTGATCTAAAAACACGGCTGAGAGTGCCCAGCTKGGGCAGGGGCTCTCCTTTCCTTCTGCCCTTCCTCCACCAAGAAGCACCACAACAGGCCCCTTCATCCCACGAGCACATGGCTACAGCCCAACGTGACACAGAGCGCAGCAAATAATAAAAASGATCAGCTCCTTCCCCAAGGTCTTGTCTACAGCTACGCTGCACCAAATTAGATTGACTTCGGAAATAATGTAAAGCAGTACAACCCTCTTGGGTAAATGTTCTTAATTCAATTTAAGAGCACTTTGTGTTGAATCAACTTAAGTTAAACAGATAGACACAACGCACAAACTAAATTAAGGAGGCCTGTACAA